GGTTCAGCCCGGGTAGGGGCTGTGCTGGGGTGTCCCCAGCAGGGACAGGAGGGTCAGTGTGCCAGGGAGGAGGGAGGAATGCTGATACAGGAGGGAGGAATGCTGATACAGGAGCTCCCCGTCCTGCCGTGGGGCTTTGTTTCGGTGCAAGTGATGGAAAAATGACATTTCCATGGGGTTTTGGTGCCTCTCCGTGGGGATATACCAGCATGGGGGAGCTGGGGTGGGGTATGCTCCCTGCAGCCGCTGGAATTGGGGTGACACGTGGGCTTTAGGGTGATGATAACAGGCGTGTGCSTTCAGAGAACGAGGGAGCTTTGTCAGGCTCTTCCTCCCTTGTTCTAGTAGGAAATAATGCAAACTAAGAACGCAGCGTTTCCGCTTCTCTGCCCTCTTTCATGCTTATAAAAACGGGACTTTGTGGGCTTTAAAAAAGGGTTTATACACCAGGAATCCCTCCCTCCTGGAGAGCAGACACCCCTTGCCAAGTTCCAGCCCGAGGCTGTTCTGGCCTCCTTCAAACCTCCCTAAAAGAGATGCAAAACATCCATCCCCTGCCTGGGACGGGGTTCAACCCCCTGCTGCATCCCAGACAGGCACAAATGTGCAGGGGGGCTTTAACCCCTCCCAGGCAAGCGATTTTTGRGACACAGGGAAGGAATTTTATTCTCCATCACTCAGGGGATGTGGGGTTTAGAGCCCCCCCACCCCGCCTGCTGTGCCCAGGGTTGACAAGGCAGTGAAGGCAGAGTGACAGCAGCCCTGTCCCCCCCTTTCCCTGTCACCGAGCGAGCCCTGGGGCTGAGGATGCTCCTGTCTCCTCCGCTGTCACCTCTGATAAACCCAGGACGGCTTCACAATGGCCTTGATTGCTGCTGCTGCCGTGCCTCACACGTGTAACGAGCTGGGCGGGCTCAGCCCCGCACCTCCGTCCTTCCCGTGGCCCAGGGATGGGGATAGGGATGGGATCGCTGCCCGTGGAAGGGGTCAGGGCTTTGGACTGAGGGCAGGGACAGGCACGGAGCTGGCAGCACTCATCCCTGCWGGAGCATCCCTCCCTGCGCTGATGCTCCTCATCGCTCAGGCTCCTCCTGAGCCACCGTTTGGGACAGCCCCGGCTGAGATTTGTAGGGCAGGAGAGGGGTTGGGGCAGAGCAGTGTTAGGAGTTTTCCAGCTGAGGTTTTTAAATTTATTTTCAGCTCTTTATTTTTCAACTCACCCTGTTGCAAAAATCCTGCATTTCGAAGAGGAAAATTAAAATATGTGGGTATCTTTATACCCAGACATTTGGGATCACCTGCGTTCACTTTGTGGCTCCTGAGCATGCAGCCACATCATTTTTCAAGCTTTTCTGTGCTCCCATAACAGTGAGAAAATCTCTTAGAGGGGAAAAAAAAACCCCAAGATTTTTTGCTTTTGCCACCCTGACCATCAGTGGTGGGACTTTCTGGGAAAKCAGTGAATGTGGCTGGATTTGGAAATGGATCCTGCAGGCTGCATGGGTGACAGCCAGTGGTGTGTGGGTTAGGCTCCTTCAAGAGATGCAAAATCCTCGCCCCTTGCCCAGGATGGGGTTAAAGAACCACCAGAAATGAGTAGGGAATGTTTTAACCTCTTTATYCCGAGACAACAGGACCCCACAGGCTCCTTGCCCCCACTGCTCTCCCTTTGGGAACTCCGAGGGTGGTGTTTGGGGCTCCTCATCGCTCTGAGATCCTGCAGGGCTCCAGGTGGGATGGGAGGTGCTTTTGTGGGGATCTCTGGGATGTGAGTGAGGATTTRGGGCTGGGAACATCCCAGCTCAGGGAGGAGCTAAAGCCAAAACCCCTCTTTAGTTTCATTAGCTCAGAGTCCGAAACATCCCATGTGCAGCCCCATCCTTCACAGTGACAGGAGAGGCTGTGGAGAATGGAGTTATCCAGTTGGTGTGTGGGGGAAAAAACCTGCAAATGCCCCAGGAGGTTTGCCAGACCCTAAGGGATGTTTTGGGGTTTGCCTGGAATGCCCCAAGAATGCAGGCAGGSCTGGGTGCAAGGATGATGCCTTTGGTGCCTGCAAAACAACTCCCAAAACCTCCCAAAACCCTAAGGAATTTGCAGATCTGAGGCTTGGGAGTGGAGTAGAAGACTTTCCCCGGAGCGTGTGAGGAGGTTTATTCCTCCTCACCACCATCCCCGAGGCAGCAGCACCCCAAAATCACCTCAGCACCCCAAAATCACCGCAGCAGCCTCTGGCTATGAGCAGCCACCCCAGGGACCGCGCTGTGGCTCCATCAGCTCGTCAGGCCGCCCACCGCGTGCCACTAATTACACGTTAACGAGCTGCCTTTAATTGCCTGCCTGCAAATGTGCCAAGACAGGCACCACAGAGCCTGGGTACAGCCCCAGCATCCCCAGGATCGCCAGCAGCATCCCGGGATGGGGGAAAAGTGAACCCCAAATTCCAGAAATTTCCCCAGGTTTCCGGGAAAATCCACCTGGCTGAATTTTGGGGCTTTAAGGATTAATTTTGGGTCTCCTGGAAGATCCTYATCCTGATTCTTTCAGACCAGACATTGATTGTCCCAGGGATGTCCCTCCCCTGTCTTCCTGCAGCGTTTTGCTCCAAAGTGAGTTAAAAAATAAAGGTTTTGATGGAGAATGCAGCGGGACAAGGGTTCAGCCCCCACTGCGCAGGGCCGGATGGGGTTCAAACATTTGTGGCCACCTGCAAACTTGCAGGAAACAGCATTTCCTCCTTCTGCAAAAGCTCGGCTGCCCCACAGGAACAAGAGGTTTTGGGGTGCTCAGAAGGAGCCCCGGTGGGGTCAGGGTGATGGGGATGTCTTGAGGGTGCCAGCGCAGGGTGAGTGTCCCCCAGGTTTGGGCTTGTCCCCCAGGTTTGTCCCCAAGATTTGGGCTTGTGGGGCTCAAATGCAGCCGAGGGGATGTTGGTGGGAAAACCCCGTGGCCTTTCTTGCCACACCCCACAGTTGGGGTTTCCGGGGTCTCTGCAGCTGCTGCTGGGAACCCCGGGAGGGGTGAGGGGGGAGCTTCTGCTTTGGGGTCAGCGGGGGGATGAGTGTGCCAGGGCTCTGCTGTCCCACCCCTGCATCCAGAGGGGTCTTGGGGTGTTCCTGCCTCCCTCAGCACCTCTGACGGTCCCCAGGGTGTGGCTGCCCAGCTGGGGTGACATCCACAGGGTGCCAGCAAGGGCTGGGTGTTCCCTGGTGGGGGACAAACCTTTTGGGGTGGCCCTGGAGGTTTCCTTCCCCACGAGGACCTCACGGCTGTGAGCAATGTGGCAGCTCCAGCTTCACGGTGGGACACGGTTTGGGGGGGTCTGACCCCAGGGTGTCCCCTCCATCGGGGGTTTGGGGGACACGCCGCGGTTTTGGGGACAGGGGAAACCCCACCAGYGCGGGGGAGACACCTCAGCCAGAGCCCACCGTGTCCCACTGAGCATCCCTCCCTCTCCCCGGCCCCCCCAGGACGCGGCGGCGATGCTGTGACCTACATTCGCGACAAGGAGGTCCCCAGCCCGCCGCCACCGCCGCCGGGCCATGAAGCGACACAAGTGACGGGGCCGGCGTGCCCGCGGCCATGGCCAGCCCGGCACCATGGCTGCGCTGGACACAAACAGAGCTGACGCGCTGGCGGGGCGAGGACGACGACGAGGAGGAGGAGGAGGAAGAAGACGACGACTTTGAAAGGCGGATGGACGAGGATGGGGTCATCGGCCTGGGGGAGGGGGCCAGGAGCCCACCGTGGGGTGAGTCGTGCCCTCCCTCCTGCCCTAAAGGGGGTGGTCCCAATGTCCCAGGAGCTGCTGGAGCCCGGGGGG